AGATGAGCCGGGGGGTGGTGTGGGTGGGTGTCCCCCCGGGTCTGGCTGAGCCCCTCGGGTGGGGTGGGGGGGACGCGGGATGTGCACCCCAGGTGCTGGTGCAGTGGTGGCCTCCGGGCGCCTCTCGGAGGGACAGCCCACCCCCCGCCCCGCCGGTGCTGCTCCCCCACTGTTAAAGCAGAGGGGAGAAGGGGTGAGACCTCCCCCGGTGGGGGTTTGGGGCTGATCTGCTGCCCGTGGTGGGGTGGCTCTCACCTTGGTTGCCTCTCTTCCCGGTGACCTTTGGTGGCCACCTGCTGTGCCCCCACATCCTTCCCTCCCAACCTCTGGCTTTTGGGAGGTGGTGGCATGGGAAGGGGGACCAGGCATGAGGTGCTGGTGGTGGGAGCTCAAACTTTGTCTGCCATGTGCTGGCAGGTCCCCTGATTTCGGTGGAGCTGTGTTGCCCCCCTGTCTGCACACCCCCCCATTAACAGGTGGGTGTTTGTCCTTCACTTGCAGGATCCCCCTGACCAAGTTCCCCTCCATGCGGCGGGTTTTGAACGAGGTGGGCAGTGAGATCCCAGACATGAACGCCCTCACCCAGCTCCTCAAGTTCAAGCTGGGCTTTGCTGACCTGGCTGAGCCCACTCCAGAGATCCTGAAGAACTACATGGATGTGAGTAATCCCTCCCTGCCGTCCACTCCCCCACTGTGGCAGACCCAGGCCCAATTCTAGGGGTACCCATCCCGGTGTGGGGACAGGACAGGACATGCCAGCCTCATTGTCCCACCCTTTCCCATTGTGAGAAGGTGAAGGAGGGAAAGATGTTGACCATGTAGGAGAGATTCATGCACCCCCATGGCTTGGTGGGTGGCTGCCAGAAGTTATTTCCCATCATTGCTGAACTAAAAATACTAATAATTATAATAATAAACAGCCCACTGACACCCGAGCGGGAGCTTTGCAGCTTTTGTGACATATTTCCTTTCCCCTTTGTCACTAATTAACGATTGTAAATAGGGGCCTGCTCATGTGCTGTCCGTCCTAGTATCTTCTGGCCTGTTTGCGCTCTGCTTTCTGCAAGACATGGGCACAAAATTATGTTCCACTCCTTGGGGCATTGGAGGATAAAAATAAGTACTGAGCAGGAGGAGAGGGTTCAGACTGGGCACCAGCTTGCTATGGGACTGGGGATGCGGGACCCTTCTTGCTATCCTTCATCTTCTGCACAGCCTTGGGAAAAGCCACCCTGCACCTCCTCCTTCTTCTTGGCAGCTTAGGGAGCAAAGGGACTTTCATGGTGGAAGCAGCAATAAAAGAAGCAGCCAGATAAAGGATGTGAGGTTTGCCCTTGCACAGTTGTGGACAGTTGTGGGGTTTCCTATTTCTGGGTTCCCCGTGGGGTACCCTTGCAGCTCTTGGCGGGGGGGGTGGTATGCAAGTGCTGGCTGGCAGAATAAAGCTGGTGCCGGATACTGGGTGTTAATTCAGGATATTCCCTGCTGCTCCCCTTCCCCAGGGGCTCTTGTCACCCAGCCAGCATCATCCTGACAGGGCTGTGCTAGGAAGGGCCACCAGTGTTCTAATCGGCAGTGTTGAAAGCCAGGGCACTGGCGGTTGCTCCACAGCGTTGCCTCTTGTACCTGTGGCTTGGGCTGCTGCTCAAGGTAGGACTCTGCTCCCTTGTTGCAGGGGGACCAGCCCAACCTGCGACAGGAGATAAGGGACTGCTGTGTCCCTCCCAGCCCAGCCAAAAAGGCACTTGCTGCCAGAGGAGCTGTTGGGAGAAAAGGCACAACTTCCCCTAGACTGCACTGTATGGTTGCCACCAGCCCCTGGCACCCCTCGTGGGTCTATGTGTGTGATTTATGGGGCCACTATACTGGGGGTTAATTTTCAAGTCCCAGCAATAATTACAGAATCACTGGAAGCAAGTGCTGCCTCCCCATTATGGCTAATTGCAATGGTTTATTAATTACTCGGCAAGCAACCCCTGCAAACTAAGCGCGCAGGAGGTGAGCAGCTTTGATAATCCCGTTTTCTTTTTTTTTTTATCCCCCCTCTGTCTTAATTAAGTACATGGGGGGGGTTGGAAAGGCCATGGGCTGACTTCCCTTGCTTAGCAGCCTAGTCTCCAGGGCCCTGATCCAGCTGCTCACCAAGCATGACATGGCTGTGTGCCCCTTTGGGAGGGCTGGGGAAAAATGGGTTTGTCTGGGACCTGCTGAGCATTCCCCATTCATCCTCTCCCCTCTGAGTAGAGGGATGCCCTGCAAGCATCTCAGTCACCCAGGTTTCTTCCAGTCCCAGCAGAGATGCACTTGCGGGGCAGAGGAGTATCCATTGGATACCTGTGCTACAGGGACTTTTCCCAAACTCTTCCCCCACAACCCAACTAAATACTTCTCTGGTGGTGCTGCTGAAACCCTTTCCTCTTTCCAGCTCCTCCAAAGTCTTCCACCACCTGGGACTGAGCATTTTTTTTATTCTTCTCCACCCCAGGGGCTTGCCAGCCCACACCAAAAGCCCCAGTGGCTGTACCTACACCTGCAGTGGGCACAGTTGCTGTTCGCTGCAATGCACAGTTCCTCTGCAAACCTGCCAGCAAAGCAGCTTCCCAGCCAGTTTCGGCTTTTCAGTAATGCAGGTGTTTTGCTTGGCTTCCTCCCATCTTTTTGCTCTTCTCTATAGTGAACCACATGTCGGTCTGCAGACAATCCTCTTTCTGCCCTGTCTCCCTGCCCTGAAAGTCCTCCCCCGCAAATGCCCGTCCTGCTTCTCCTCCCTGATTTATCCGTTTCCCACCCACTGTAAGGTGTGAACACCAAATGGGAGCCTCCCTTCCAGAGGGCAAAGGCTGGGAGCCCATCACTGCCAAAAACGAGAGGAGAGCAGTGTCTAAATAAGAAGTTGGTTCCCTTTTTTGATCCTAAGAGATTTTTTTGGTCTTTAATCCCTGCTTTTAGCCAGCCACCTCTGCTCACAGCTCCTTTCTCCTCCTTTGCAGGCCCAGTATTACGGTGAGATTGGCATTGGAACCCCCCCCCAGAAGTTCACTGTGGTCTTTGACACCGGCTCCTCCAACCTCTGGGTGCCGTCTGTGCACTGTCACCTCTTGGACATCGCCTGCTGTAAGTGTCACCAGTGCTGCTGTGGCTCGGCAGCTTCTTCCCTGCAAAATGCAGATCCTGGCATTGGAAGAGGAGAAAGTGAGGCAGCAGTGTGAAAGGGCTCACTAGGGGCTGATGGGCTCTTTAGAGTCAGAGCTGGAAATAGGATCCCAACTTCCCACATCCAGTTTTCATTACTGCCTTCCTGGTTTGTTTTTTTTTCCCCTCTCCATGTCACCCACACACAGCTTCAAACCTTCCCCAACAGCGTTGGCCCTGCAGCTGGGGAGCAGCATCACAAGTTATGATGTTTCTCCCCAAATTACAGACTGACGCTGCTGTTGCCCCATTGCGCAAGCTGGTGGAAAAAAAAATCAGCCACTTGCCAGATCTGATACAAACTGTCCTAGTTTCTGGTTTATTGCCGCACTGAGCATGTGTGTGCATGTTTATGGATTTATAATTAACAAGAGCCAGGTAGGCACAATGAGGTGAGAATGTCTTAGGGACTACAAGGTTTTTTTGCTCTGTGGGGTTCCTACGCAGTAAACCTCCACAGTTGAAGGTGTCAAACCTGGCTATGGCAAAATGTCATTTAAAAGCCACCAGCTGTGCTGTGTGCTGCTTAAGCAGAGCAGAGAAACCTGTGAAGTCTACAAGTGCAACCATGAAAGGCGGTGTATAGTGCTTGTTGTGGGTAATGAGGAAATTTAGACTTCTTGTACAGCACTAGTGCCCAGAGAGGAGACGGACCTTCTTCCTGCATATGTGAAATGAGATTTAGGACATGGTAGGGTGATGAGGTCCAGACCTGGTCTGTCCTGGGGGTCCCTGATCTCCAGCAGGGAGCTGGTTTCTCAAGACAGCAGTTTAGGACTTGCTGGGACTGAAGGGCTTGTTTTATGAGTATGCAATGAGCCTAACCTCCTGCCAGACTGGGATCCAGGCAGCCCAGCCAGGGAAGTCCCCATGTAGCATGTTGTTTTCCATAGGATGTGGCTGGTTTGTCCTCAGCTGCTGTCTGCTGTGTTCAACAAGCAGCCAGGGTCTGTTGGCTGGGCTGGCCAAGCTCGCCACGCACCACTGCCCAACTCGTGACTTGGGAGGAATCTGCAGAGGAGGAATCTGCCCAGCCATAGAACCAGCGATATCTTACAGTTCCCAGCCCTTCCAAGGAGAAAAGCAGCTTGGACTAGGGAAAAGCCCTTCCTTCTCTGCAAATAACCAAATATTTTGAGCCTTCTCTGTTAAAAAAAAATAACTTTTCCCACCATCCCCTTGAGATTTCTTTGAAAGAAAGAACCACTTCCTGCCCTTCAGTTCTTGACATTCTATTATCTTGATCCAGCAATTCAGTTAAGCATTAGCCCAACTCTGACCACAGTAACAGTCCTACTGACAGCCTGCTGTGAACTGATAGTAAGTCTGATTGGTTCTTCAGAACTGCAAGAAAAAAAAAAAAAAAAAAAAAAAAAAGACTGTGTGGGGAAAAAGAAAATTCTCCAGCTATTCTTAGTGAAAGAAAGAGATAAACACATACAGTGAAAATGTTCATACTCAGAGCAGGCTATATTTAAAGCCACCCTGGTTCTCCATGGCATGGGGGGGATGTGTCGCTCTGCTGTCTAACACCCTGAGTCACCGGCTGCGTAGCCTCTAGGCTCTTAATAATACCCAGTGGCCAAATCCGATTTAACAGCCAAATTGGATCTGCCCACCTAATTCCCCAGTTGTTGGAAATGCTTTGTTAAGCAGTCCAGCCTTGGGAAATGCCAGGTTCAGGCCCACCTTCGCGTTGTTGAGCATCTGTCTGGATGAGTTGGGCAGTGTGGGGTTAGGTATTGGGGAGCCCTAGGTATCAAGAAGCACTGATGTATGTTCACCTGTGTCCCCCTTCCCGACTGCAGTGCTGCACCACAAGTATGATGCCTCCAAATCCAGCACCTACGTGGAGAATGGCACCGAGTTCGCCATCCACTATGGGACAGGGAGCCTCTCCGGGTACCTCAGCCAGGACACTGTCACGGTGAGTAACAGCTGCCCTTGTCCCAAGCTGCCCCAGCCTGCTTTCAGGAGAGCGCTCAAAGCTGTTTGATTTCAACAGGTGTCCCTTCTTGAGTGTCTTACTGGTATTAAGTGTTTATACGTATATATGTTAACGTATATACGTTCCCAAGTGATTTGAAACGAGGTGATGGTGACTGAGGAGGTGACGATGACTGAGGAAGGCAGAGAAGGGGACAGGTATTAATCATCAGGACAGCAGGCTAGGAGCATGGACCACACACATGGTGCCCTGCAAACGTGGTCTTTGGCCTTCCCTCCAACCCACTTCCTCCTGAGCCAAGAAATTTCCCAGCTCGGGCACATGCCACACACTACTGCATGGGCTGCTGGTGGTTCCCAGCTTGTTCTTGGCCAATATCCATGCAGTAGTGGATGTCCATACCAGCAGCTGCCCAAACACTGGTCAGAAATGGGCTCTTTGCAGCCATATCCTAGTCTGGCGTTGAGGATGGTGCTTATGTTTGCAAAGGCTGTGTAACACCTTGGGGGACGTGCTGTCCCCAGCAGCGTTTGGGGCCCAGCTTGAGGTAGCTGGGTGGCTGGTGGCCGCTTCCCGTCGTTTTCTTTCAGTGAGCAAAGACTGAGCTTTCTGCCCTGGGAAGGACGGGCGCCTTTCAGGACTGCCTCCCAGGTACAGGTGCTTGTGAGAGTTTTCCAGCTGCTGAATGTCAGCGGCACACGTGCTCCCAGATTACTTGGTCTCCTGGCAGGGATAAGAGCATATGTTTGCTTTGCAGGGGGGAGACAAAGCAAAAGTTTTGAATAAGCGTGTAAATCTAGGGATTTGGGGGTTTCCTCATTAGGTTCAGCTGAAAAGTGTTGGCTTACCAATTTCATTGGGATCAAAAGAAAAATATCCAAGAGGAGCCCAAAGTGGATGGCTCGTGTTAGGAGCGCTCTTTAGCTTGTCCTTGTAGCAGGAAGTACCAGCCATTGCCTCTGTGCTGCATCCAAAGGTGCTAGCAGCTCAGGCTGGTTGCAGGACCCTCTTCAAGGGAGAGAGTTCAATGAACCCTGAAAATAAGTGTAGAGAAGGTCGTGGAGAATACCAGCAGCTTTGCACCTCTGGTTTTGTTCTCTGCGTCCTGCAGCCCACTGAGCTTCAGGACTATTTCAGTTTTGTTTAATGGCATTTGTTTCCTGCATCCCTTGGTTCACTTAGAAACATCCTGCCACAAAAAAGCTGCCCATTTGAGCCTTCCCACAGCTCTTGCCAAATGAAGACACCCTGCATGTAGCATTAATGGGTTCTCTTACATTAGGTTTGCAAAATACAGATGGAGCAGGCAGAGGCATCTACATTCATCCCAGTAATGGAGTGGGGCGGCAAGGCAAACAGCGAACTTTACTGTCCTGTGAAAGTGTGGGCTGCTTTAGGCACTTTCCAGCTTAATGCAGGGGCTGAAATGAGTCAGAAGAAAAGTTGCAGCTTTTTCTTTTTTTTGTTGTTTTGTTTGTAATTATTACCCTAATGCCTGCTTGCTAATTAGCTCTCCACTTCCCGGCAGCTCAGAGGAAGGATTTTGAGCCTGAGCTTGTTTGGGAAGTGGGGATGGCTCTTGGCAGCCAGCACGTCTTATAGCATTTGGTTTCTGTCTGGGCAGAAGCAAGAGAAACCTCTTGTGTGGAGCCTGACCAGTATCATGCTTGCAGTGAGCAGGAGCAGGGTGACTCAGAGGGTCAGGCACCTTCAGCTTAGACACTAAGATGCTTCCTCTGATGCACAACATCCTGTAGGCAAGTTCCCAGTCAGGTCTAGTCTGGAAATACAGACTCTGAAAAAGCCTTTGGGGTGATCCTCTCCGCCTCAGCCATCCTGATGGGTTGAAGCAGCCACAGCAGCCTGTGGTGGCACTGACATGTGACTGGAAGGCTCTAGTTGGCAGGTGGTCCAGAGTCCCTCACCCCTGAACTTTTTTTTGGAGAGGGTGATGAGCTCATGTTGAGCATCCTCTCTCCTTCTGTGGAGGAATGATGCCTTGTAGCACCATGCTCCCTGGTGCTGCTTGCTCTCTGAAGAGCAGCAGGTTCAGCTAGCCCTCTGCTGCTTGAGCATCTCATCCCTTTATCGCAGCCTGACCTTGGGATTTCCTTCAAGGACAGCAGAGGAAACATTGCTGGCCATGGGGCACTGGGTCTCTCCTGGGGCTGCAGTGCAGCTATGCCGTGCAGGAGATGCTCCTTCTCGCCTCTCCCCTGTGCCTCTGCAGAGGGGAGTCCTGAGCCCAAACCATGCCGTGGAGGCTCTCACCTCTAGTCTGCCTTCACCATCTGGCTCTTGCCCGCTTTGTTGAGGTTGCTAATGAGGGGGCCAGGCAAGCTGCAGGGTGCTGACACCTGTCTGCAAAGCGCTGGAGAGTGGCGACCATGTGACCATCCACTGGTAATGATTTTCGGTCACTCCGTATCTGGGCGAGGGCCAGCTAAGAGACAAAGATGAAGGATCTGTGACCTGGCGCCAGTGCTCTGCTAAAGATGCTCTTGGGTTTCAGTCCTGCTGAGGACCAAGCGTGGGCAAGGTCTGCTGAGACCTCACTACTGGGCAGATACCTGCCTCCCTCTTGGGATGTGCAACCTTGGCAATATTCAAACAAACCTAGTACTTTTTTTTTTTTTAGTCCATTGCATTTTACTTTAAGTGGAAGCTTTATTGAACTTTCTGAGCTTCTGCAGGACCAGGCTTTTGTAAACCGGTGGCATACAACTGGAGCGCTCGCCATGTGCCAGCAAGCGGATGCGTTGCTGTGAGCTGTTTTGCCCCACATCCTGCTCTGTGGCTTTTAGCTTTTGCAAGCCCCGATTGCCCTTTCCTAGTGCAAGCCTCTGATACCATTAAATCCAGCACTGCAAGCACCATCCCAGCCTTGCACTTACCCTGGGGGGATATTAGTAATTTACAGGGATCGTTATCTGTCATCAGGTAGGAGAGGCCAGCTTTTCAGTCCAGCCTGATTCACTACAGGGCTGCTAGCTGGAGGCTGAGAAGCTGAAATTGTCCTAGCACAGATACTAAAATTGCTCATTGTCAGCCAGAAGCTTGTAAACCTCCTGAACTGCTAGACCCAGGAGCCAGCAGGCATGTCCTGCTCCCCGTTAGCAGAGTTATCCTGTTTTTTCTGTGATCTCCTTCTTTCTGGGGATCTGCCCTTACGGGGCATTTCAGCTTTCCAGTAGGGAACGCCAGTCCTTCTCATGGCTGGCAAGAGGTGACCTTTGCGTTCACAGTACTCTACTTGCTATTTTCGTGCTGCAGGCTCAACCTAGCTTTCCTGGCTGGGTCTTGTCCCCTCCCACAGGAGGTCTGCAGGCTGGTGGCCCTTCTGGGAATGTAGCAACATCCTGGGGATGTTTCTTATACAGGGAAAATCACAGGGGTTGTTGGCAGAGGTGAAAGGGTCTTGTGCTCCCAGACGGGGATGGGTGCAGCACCCGAGGAGGTAGGGCACAGAGGTGACTTAGAAGATGTGCAGGGTGGGGAAGAGAATTAAAGACACAACATAAGAGCTGCTCAGACTGGGAGGAAAGGATCAAGTAGGCAAGAGGGGAAAGGATGTAGGGGGCACCAAGTGACAGAGGGCCCTCTGTGCAAAGAGGAGGAGCTGCAAAATGGTGTGGCCAGTGCCAGGACCCAGCCAAAGACAAAGTGTTGAGTGAGGTGGGCAAAGAGCAGAGGGGAACTCTTGCCTGCAGGGGTGTGCTGGGCTTTGCAGGGACGCAGGAGGTGCCACTGTGCAGCTAGTGTGGCCTGTGTCCCCCCTCCCCGCCAAGGAGAGTGGCACCAGGATATCTGGTTTCTGCAGCTGCTCACAAATTCAAGGGTGAAAGCAGGCAAGAGTGTGGCAGCACACTGAGGGACGCACTACAGCTTATGTTCAGCAAGATCCTGTTTCTGCCTTGGTCCCCTGAGTCAGTTTTCTTTACAATCTGCTTTTCCCTTCCCTCCCCATCTCCTGTCAGCTTGGTAACTTGAAAATCAAGAACCAGATATTCGGGGAGGCTGTGAAGCAGCCAGGCATCACATTCATTGCTGCCAAGTTCGACGGCATCCTGGGCATGGCTTTCCCAAGGATCTCTGTGGACAAGGTCACCCCTTTCTTCGATAACATCATGCAACAGAAGCTGATTGAGAAAAACATCTTCTCCTTCTACCTGAACAGGTAGTGTTGGGTTTGGTGGTACACCTCTCATTGCAAGGACAAGCCCAGCTGGGCGTTTCTCTATGTCTTCCTGTAGCACCTCTTGCTGTGTGTCAGTTTACGCCCTGGCCAGCGCCATTGGGAGGTCTCAGCAAGGTCTCCTTGCTAGAACAGTCAGGCCAAAATCTCTCATGTTTACTTCTTTGAAGTAAGAAGAAGGGAAGTAGAAATGCAGCCATTTTACTGATAAAAAGCTGGGTAGATCTGCTACCAGATTTCTTAACTGATGAAGAGACAGAGGATGTTTCCAGAGGAAAGAGAAACAGGGTTGTGACAGTGAGATTGCAGGCTGGTAGTACAGTCCCTGTTAGCGGGGTAAACACAGCCCCAGTCTGTTGCCAAAATCGAGTCACGTGGCCACCACTGTGTCACCTCCCAGGCAAGCATATCCCCCCACCAGTCATCTCTAATGATGGGGCTAATGCTCCCGCACCCCTCAGGAAATCCTCCTGCATGGCTCCCAGCGCCTTTCTAGCCACTGCTGCTCCTCCCAGCACACCCTGTCATCCTCCTGGCACCACAGGGGGGACTCTGTACTACTTCAGCTCAAAAAGTAGCACGCAGGGAGTGGGGAGGGCAGAGAAGGCTGCTGCTGGCCACTCAGGCGCCAGCCCTCCCCCATCACCATATTTCTTCCCATCTGCTCAACAGCGAGCTTTTATCTGACGGTAACCTTGAGGATTCAGCTCCAAGGCTGCTGGCTGGCACAGAGTTGGGTGTAGATAACCTAATGCTGCATCAGCCATGTCCAGCCCTGCATGGGTGTTTGTTACAAGCCGATTATGCAGGGGGGTTCTCCGGTTTCTCCAGGTGAAAGCATGAAGCAAAAAGCTACAGGATGCTTCAGCTGGCCCAAAATATTCCCACTTCCCCACCCCAGCCTATCCCACAGTATCTGTCCTTACATTGACATGTTATAGCATGACATAAGTTGTCTGTTTCCAGTACTGCTGATGGTATGCCTCACCCCCAAGCACTTCAGTGTGTGTTTTGGGGGCACGCAGAGGGGGTTGTTCTCACCCTGCTCCTCATGTTCATGGGTTTGGGTTATTTTTCAGAGACCCCACTGCTCAGCCTGGTGGTGAGCTGCTCCTGGGAGGAACCGACCCTAAGTATTACAGTGGCGACTTCAGCTGGGTCAACGTCACGCGCAAGGCTTATTGGCAGGTCCACATGGATGCGTAAGTGCCCCCTCCACCCAACTACATGCATGGGGACATGTGTGCAGACAGCTCATGCTTGGGGCTGGGCTGAGACCCTCCCCAAAAAGGAATCCTCTGTCCTCTATACCTGCAACATATCCATGCCAAAAAAAAAAAAAGGCAGATTAAAATCCCACCCTAAGGCTGGGTCACTTGTTGCTGGAAGGGGAGGAGAGGAAGAAAACAGCAGGAGATGTTCTGCAAAATCCTTTCCTCTTGTTTACAGTTTGGCCCCTGAAAACACCTGCTGCGCCTTTGCAAAGCTGGGGAAAAAGCCGGTGTGTCCTCCTTTCAGGCAGGGCAAGCACCACGGATTAAACCCTGGCTTTGCTCAGCTCTCGGCAACAACTGAGCTGTGTGGCTCATTTGCACACAGCTCCAGAGGAGCAGGATGAGGCCCCAGGAAGCCAGCCCTTGACTGAAGGGCACGGCGCGGCAATCAGTGTGCATTGTTGGAGGCAGAGGGGAGGAGAGCAGGCTAAGCTGCCGGCCCGCCAGCCCTGCGGTCTATTCTGAGCTCTCCCACGTGATGGGAACTTAAAAGTGGCCTGTGATCAGAGCGTGTCCTTTTCCCGGGGATTGCATCCATCCCCAGCGCAGAGTTTAGTTCTCATCTTCCCTATCCCTGCCACATTGGCAAAGTGTGGCAGACCCTTGGCTGGAAGGCTTTATCTGTCCACACTGCTGTGAAATAAGATGCAGGTGAGGAAGCCAAGCAACTCCTATTGTTTCTTCAATGTACACGAACCTTTCCCTTGCTGATGACCCCCTCAGCCATCACACCACCCCTTTAAGCCTTTGCTTTTTGCAGTAGCACAGGTCATAGGAGTCTCTAATGCATCACCTTTAGCTTACTCATGTGCCCATTAGTCACGGTGTTTAGCAGGCAGCAGTCAACTCTTTGCCTGCTGCTCCCTGCAGCCTTTGCCTGGAGGCCTCTAAGAGTTGTCTTCTGTCTGGACATCTCTCTCCAGGGTGGACGTTGCCAATGGGCTGACTCTCTGCAAAGGGGGCTGCGAGGCCATCGTAGACACAGGCACCTCGCTCATTACTGGCCCCACTAAGGAAGTGAAGGAGCTGCAGACCGCCATCGGTGCAAAACCACTCATCAAAGGCCAGGTGAGGCTGGGCTGGGAAAGTAGGAGTCCATGGCCATCGTGGCAACCATGCTGACACCCTGCTTTGCACCCAGATGCTTCTGGAGACCCCAGTCTCCTGCTCCCTTTGCTCTCTGTTCCCAGTCTGTGCTCCCAGAAAAGCCTGTAGCATAGCAGGGACCCCTCTGTCTTTTGACCCCACATAGTGTTTGACACCCTGCTCATGTTCTTGGTAGAGGGCTCAGTCCTGTGAAATTTGGGAGGTTTTTGGGTCACCTCTGCCACCTGCCTCTGGGAGGCAGAGGAGAAGGGGTGTGAGTTGCAGCTGAGGCCAAGGATTCACATTAACGTGAGTCCAGAGGCACTTTAATACAAATACATTAATGCAAATGACAACCCTTCCCTGCCAAGTTTTTAACTGTCTTAGCTAATCTCACAAGGTCACCTCTCCTCCCTGAAATTGTGGAGGAACAGGGATTGTAAGGACCCTCTAGGAAGGATACTCTGCTTTGAAACCCCTCCCAAATCACAGAGCCATAGGCACTTGTAGGGCTTTTCTGCAGTGTGGGGAGACCCCGTGCTGCAGCAACAACTGGCTTAGATCTGCCAGCTCCCCTAGGACTCACCAGTGTTAATTAAACTGGCTTTGTCCATTCATCACACCACGTATCCCTGTCTATGTCTCTAGGCTGTATCGAGCCATGTCTTCCCCTCGTGTGGCAGAGGAAAGACCCCAGCCCTGCTCCGTCAGGTGCTGTGCCCTGGGACTCAGCAGAACCAAAAACAACCCAGCATCCTTTGGCTCTAAAATCCTGAAACCCTCTGGCCTCTCAGTGTGCAGCCCTGGGCAGGGCGCAGCCCACTTAACGTGCACTCAAGCCTCTTCTGCACCCTGAGATAAGCAATTTGTGGGCACAACCATGTCTTTACTGTGGTTTTCCCAATGGGAGACGAAGGCCTTTCCTGAGGGCGTGGGGGCTGCCATCTAAAGCCTTAACCATTTCTCTTCCAGTACGTGATCCCCTGCGATAAGGTGTCATCTCTGCCTGTCGTCACACTAACACTGGGAGGGAAGCCCTACCAGCTCACTGGAGAACAGTACGTCTTCAAGGTGCGTCCAGGCAGCTTTTGCCACCCATATGCTTCTCCCACAAGGCCTAGCTTTCGCCTTCTCCGCTTAAACCTCAACCATGAAAACCGAAATGCAGGAGCAGCAAAAGCAAGGTTGGAGCTAGGCAGTTGGGAAAAAGTCTGAAAGGCTGGGGTGACAGGGTGGTGGCACTAGCTGATGGACACAGGCAACCTCACTGAAGTCCTGCAGGAACAAGTTTCCCCCACATGATGCTCATGAGGGATAGCAGGATGGGAGAGAAAGGGCAGTTGCATCACTTTCTGCAAATATTTTGCCCTTTTCTGCTGGATTCTGGTACCATGACACCAGCCTTGTCATAGCAGAGGCCACCAGCCTGGCATTTAAGCCATCAGAGTGAATTCGCAGGGACAGTCTTGTACAGAATTTCAAAGATTGCTCTTAATTCAGAGCTGGGGGGGTGGGAGGTTTATGGGCATGTGTGGTGTTACTTGATGTTTTGCTGTGTAAGGGCTCTGGGAGGAGGAGATGGGTTTGGAGCTGTGGGAGTGGTGGGTTGGGAGTTACTTTTGCAAGCTGTGGATCGCAGACTGGGAGAGGCAGGTGGTGTTGGCAGGTGTTATTGCCAAGCCTGCGAGGTTGAGGAAAGGGGAGGACCTCCTCAGACTGAAGCTCTCACTCTTCTCTTTAGGTTTCTGTACAAGGAGAGACTATCTGCCTGAGCGGCTTTTCAGGCCTAGACGTCCCACCCCCTGGGGGCCCACTCTGGATCCTGGGAGATGTCTTCATCGGTCCCTACTACACCGTCTTTGACCGTGATAATGACTCTGTTGGCTTTGCCAAATGTGTCTAAGCGCCTGATCCCCACTGCCTCTGCCACACACACATTTACACACATGCACAGGAGCCGTAAAGAAGGATTAGAAATCCAGTGAGTGGAAAGGAGAAAAAAAAAAAAAAGAAAAAGAAATGGAACTAGACTTCAAATTACATGGAAAATAGTCATTAGTGCCCTGCTAGCTACTTTTTCCCCTCTGTTGAGTAAGTGGTGCTGGGAGGTCTCTAGTTGACACCTCCAGCTGGAGTAGCCCTTTGCTTTACTGCTAGGTCTTCCAGTATTTGTTTTTAAGAATGATTCTCAGAGCTGAATAAGGCCCTCGTGTCTCCCAGCCCTGGTCTTCTACCTGGGGGGCAGCTGGCTGGAGCCAGCACCCAGCACCTCTGTTCCTGCAGAGAGGCTGTGTGGCTGCTCTTGGGTTTGGGCTTCCGCACTGGGGGAGAGGGATGGGGAAGGCTGTCCAGCACGTTATTTACTACTTGCTTTTTCACTGATGAAGTGGGGGAGCGGGAGGTGGGGGAGAGTCTGTCTTCATCACCCCTCTGTGATGGGTTGAGGCAGCGACCACTAGGTTGTTTCTTAATAGGTTGGTTCTGGCTTGGTCCTAGGAGAGCACATCCTGGGCTGGAGTGACAGTGAATCACGGTAGCATGCCCAAGGGTTGAGTTTCAGAGCCCGAATGCTCTGGTGGTGTGTTTCTGTGTAATGGTGGCACTAGTGAGAAAGCTGGAGGTATGACGTCCATGTGCCTGACCTAACAGGGCAGTGATTTGTACGGGGGGCTCCAGCCAGTGGGACTCTTTGGGGAGTATAAATATAAAGGGGGTCAAGATAGGATACAATAGAGGTCACTTGAATTTATGGCCATGAAGGCCCAGCTTTCTGCTGGGCAGTCACTTGACACAGGTTCTCGAGTTTGGTGAACTTCTCCCAGGTTCCCCAAACCACAGATCTTCCCAGCTTCTTCCACAGCCTGTGAATTGAGAATAATGTTTCCTAAAGCAACTAAGTGATCTATAAGCTGAAATCACACTGGTAAAAACCATAGATGTTTTCTCAGCCATGTAAGACCTTTCGGAAACATTATTCACAGCAGTTTGAACTGCCCAAAACTCAAGAGACAGTTAGCAGAGCCAGCAAGCCTCCCAGGCAGGAGGGTGCCATGGCAGCTGCTGGTCTTGCATTTGCTTTTCCCTGCTGCCCCATCCTGAAACCCAACTGCCTTTAACCCCTCCTTACCTTCTTTCCACCTTACTAATGCTGATGAGAGCTCTGTCCGTGTCCACCCTGTGTTGCAGATGGAGTGAGGCACAAACCTGTTTTGGAGAGGTTGTAGCTGATCTAGCTGTGTTCGTAGATCCTCCCAGAGAGCTGAGATCTGTGCATATGGAGGTGCTTGCTTCACTGGGCTGGAGTCAGTAGGCAAACACTGGTGGAGCTGGGAGGACAATAAAGTGAGTTTTAAGCAGTACTGGAAAGCAGAGGAGAGTTTGCTAAGAATCCCAGCCCATGCTGGGAGTAAAAGACTCTCTCCATTTTCCCAGCGCACTGGATCAGGCCCTGAAGTTAGGGAGTGGCAGCAGGTGAGGGCCAAAGCTGAAGGTGGCAAAAGGACCACATCAGCACTGGCTGTGACCCCAGACCAGGCAAAACGGATGGTAAAATCCTGGCTTCCCGAAATTCACCGATAATCCTGCCAGCAGTACTAGTGGGACCAAGGAAGTTCCCCAGAAAGGTTTTGAGGCAGTAGGTGAATGGATGGTTATGCCCGGTGAAATGCACATACATCATCCCCAATACTGAATTCACCACAAACATCGGAGGCAAGGGTGGGAAGAGGTACTGAGGTGAGATGTGGGAGGACAGTGAGCACGTAGCCTGCAGATGTCCCTTGTCCCTACCTGCTGCAGCTGGTCAATTTGGCTTTATAACCATGCCTCACACCTTGGAGGGGTCTGGCATGAGCAGTGGGGACAAGCCTGGGCACACATCTGATGCGTGTATCATCCCTCCAACCCTAGATGTGACAAATGCTGCTCCCAAAGCTTGCTTCTGCCTGCTCGTAGTCTTCACCTGCAATGCTGCCTCTGGATGCCTAAGGACAGCTGTTGCAGACTGGCTAGAGAACAGTAGTGTGTTACCAAAAAAAAAAAGTTGTCATTAATAGGTACTCCAAAATCAGCAGATACTCAGCACCTCTTCAGAGAGCCCTGCTTTCACACTACATGCCCAGAGCTCCTCCAAGTCCTGCTACATCGTTTCCCAGCTGCAGGATTTTTCCAGCGCAGTGAGACAGAGACAGCCTCTCGGGTACCCGCTAATCAGACCTGGTGCAGGGGGGAAGCCTGACTGACATGGAGCTGGTGGTGGGTTTTGAATGTCTTCGGCATCAGATTTAAGCAGGACGTGCAGCGCAGCCCCAGAACAAGCTGTCGCACCACAGTTCTGCTGGGCACGCAATGCCTTATGCTGTCTGCGTCGTAGCTTCTGCGGTAACCCAAGGCTGGGGTGATGTCTGTTCTCAGGCGGGCAGTAGACTGCTGCTGGGGAAAGAGCTTGGCCCAGAACAATGCCCTGAGTAACATATGTTAGGATAGGCTGGAGGAGAGGTACATCGTAGTCTTCCCCAAATGGGTCTCCTCCCCTCGTTCTTTTAGTTGCATTTTTAAACCAAACTCTAACTGTGTGACTGTTGGGTTTTTTAATCTAATTTGCTGTCAGAATTACTGTCTCATCATAGAAAACTTAAAAGAAAATACAGTATTTCCCCCCTTAATTCTGAGAGTAGTCTTTCCTTTTGAGACGCCAAACTCTTTCTCAGTTTCCAGAGACTGCATGTCCCGGACCTGTTGACCCAGTATGTCTGGTTGTCCGCTTGGGTGGACTCACATGTGTTTCGGAACACTGTCTGATAAGTAAACATGCTGGGAGCTTGTTGTGTTTGTCCTTTTCAATGTATTGAAACAACCCAGCCTTTGCAGGATGACATGACAGTGTCACCTGCCTGACCCAGCACCAACAAGGTGGCAGGCACTCCTGGCATCAGTCCTAGGCTACAGCCTTCTCCTGGGGCTGCATCTTCCTGGCTGAGATTGGCAAGAGCAGTCCTCCAACAGGTTACTCGGGCTGTCCCCTAAGCCTCTGGGCCAGCTAGGACAAGCTCCTACTGGACTTGGGATATAGACTGGTGCTGTAGCGGCTAAAGCGGGACTCAAGTTTCTAAGTCCAGCCTAAAACTCACTAGGATGTGCAGTTTATGCTTCCGGAGTGTGGTGATGAAAAAAACTTGGGTTTTTCTCAAAATGTAGGAAAAATCCATCCCTTTTGCTTGGCTGTGTGATTTTTAGTCCTAGTGCTGCTGTACGGGAGCTGGAGACTCCAATGCAGAATGAAGGCCCCATGTGCCAGGTGGAAGATAAGAGCTAATCCCTAGTTTGAAAGAAGCATCATCTACATAAGCAAGACGGATGCAGCCAAGTCCCATCCCATTTTCTGAGTGCAGATCTAAGCACACAGAGCTTAACTGATTTCCCCACTGGCAGGTCCCAAGCCTCTGTTCCCCCAGGATGCCTTAATACCCTAATCAGCTGTTCTCCTACATTAAAGAGATGGATTTAACCCAAAAGGGCTGGCTGGGCCCTGAAAACCAATCATGCAGCCCACCGTTCCTCAATAGCCCTAGGGGAGAACAAGTCATCTGCTGCCAAATATTTATTGATGGGAATACGAGGGCGTTGTTTCTGCTGGGGGGATTGTGCCTAAGCCTTTAATCGTGCGGTGAGTACTGAATGTTACATCTCAGCGGGAACAATCACAGGCTTGATCTTGGCCAAGAGCTAGAGAAGCCAAGAGCCAGGATTGTCCACCTATGCTTTTCTAGGAGGCAGCAGAGCGCACCCCACCCTGTGATCAGCCTACACGTGGCCCCACGTTATCGTGCCCAGCAAATCCTCGGGTTTACACCAGCCCCCTCATTTACTGCACTGTCTCTGCAGAACTCCATGCACATGACAATTTGCTAAGTCACTCTTTTATTAAATGTCTCCACTGCTGCAAAGAAGATAAAATTTTTCATTACACGTCCCCTTGAGTAGTGGGGTGCTTGGCCCTGACTCTCAGGGCTGACTTCGTGGCCTTGATCCTTCTCCAACCAACTCTGCTCCGGGCTTTGCCAAAAGCCCACTCGGACAAGGACCTGCCCAAGGAGAGGGAGGACGAGACCCCTCATTTATGGAGATTACTTGCGCATCTGGTTGGCTCAGCAACTTTTTTGATTTGGCAAACTATTTTTACTGATCATGAATGACTAAGCATGTTGTTTTGGGGGCTGGTGGCTTTTTCCGGTCTTTCTTGGATTTATTTATTTTTAGCTTTCTTTGGGAGGGAAAAGAAGCAGAGCGCAGACTGAAAGCTTAGAGGACAGGAAACAGAGATGAATGGAGGGTGGGAAGATGGGATTTACCCCTCCAAGCCTCAGGCCACCCTACTGCTTATGGGGCTTAGCAACCCACTGAGGAATTTTACAGGGGCAATAGGAAAGAGTATTGAGGAGGTTGTGGGCTTTCTTCTTTGGAAAAAAGCAGGGGTGGGTCCTGCTAATGGTTTCCGGAGAGCTGGAGTAGGATTTGAGATGGAAGACTTTCTCACAGGTCTTACAGTGCTTGATTATGCTACAGCCCACATGTCTCTAGCATGATTACAGGAGAATAGCTTTGGGGCAGGAAACATCTTTCTGTTCTGTTTGTCCCATGCTTAGCACAAGGGGATGCGGGCCTTGATGCCACAGTAATACAGGCGATTATTCATACTTACCCCAGCTTTTATTTGAAAGGAAAGTGGGCTTAGACCTTATGGTTGAGGGCATGCATGCATGACCTTTAAAGACCCCCAGAAAATAGGAAGAGTGTTAAAATAATGCAGAATATTGAGGTTTTTTATTCCTTGTGTCATTATTTTTTAAGCCAGTTCCCTAATTTTGAAGGGTCACATGAATATTTTTGAACCGGTGATGCTGCATATACGCCGTTGTGGTCCATGACAATCAACCTCTCACTGCTCACACTTAGCATCAAGAAAGATGATGAATTAC